CATCAATCTCAAAATCTTTGAATTGTATTGCAGTTATTTTCTGCTTAATTTTAGTTTTGGTCTCATGATTTGGGACATAAATAGGCAGTTTATAAAATTGAAGGATTCAAGATCTCGCTAAATATTTATACTTCCTGTAAATAGAATCGGGTTTAAGGATTATTAGCAAAAAAGCAGTTTTCTGTAATTTAAATTTCGCAGTCCGCCATGCTAAGTTCCCCACCGCCGGGCTCTACTTTACCAAAAGCGGGCGTCGCGACGCTCCCGGTCGCAAGCGCAGGCTTTATAACTCGGCCACGCCACTCCGGTCAGTGAGTGACATGATATCATCGGCACTGCTTCGTACCCAAACCAATCCGCGTGGAGAGACATGTATAACGATGAATATTCACACAGCAAGCAGAATATTTGTGGTAAGACCAAAACACATCCCAAATTCTAACAAAATGAGTGAAAGAATAGGATGAAAGGGAGAACTGATGCAAGAATGGCCGTTTCTACACTTTTTTAAAACATTCACGCCGGTAACAATTAGAGGGTGTGTAGAGTCTAGACGTTGATAAATAAATGTTTACAAGCGATCAATTGAGGGTTGGTGGACATCAAAACGGTTTTTCGCGTAAACGGGGTCGTTTGTGACGTAATTGTTTCCGAATTAATTGACACGGAATTTAGGGGTCTTTTACCTTGTAATGGGTTCTCTATCGGATAAGGTTATGATTGTGGAAAATTGTAGAGTAGTCGAAAGAAGGATAATACATGGTTTATTTATTTATTCATGGTATTTTTATGCTATTGATGATTTCTATTAATTGCAATATGGAACTTTCAATTTTTTCTTTTGAAATGTTGGAAGTTGCAAATTTTTTGTAACTAAATTAAAAAAATCGAAAAAATCAATATCTCTACTCTCGACACCAGAAATCTTCAAAAATCACCATATATTTTCTATTCTATTTTAATTTAATTATTTGACATTTTTTCAGTATTTGTACAAAAGTTGGAGGCATTGTGAAGCATGCCTCCAACGTTTGTAAATTTAAAATTCAATTATTTTATTAAATTATTACTTATAATATCGACATGTGTTTCAGTTTCAGAGGTTGTTGCATTATCAGAACATTGATAAAAACTGGAGTTGGTTATTAATTATTATTAGTCTATTAATAATTTAAAGATCTAAAAGGAGTCAAGCATGCAAAGTATACTATCCACAAACCATCACATAGTTGGATGTGCATAAAGTTCCATTAGAAAAACTGATCTCTATTTTGACTACACATTTTTTAAATTATTTTTGTGGTCATCAATTTTTCAAAAGTTACTTTATTCATATTTGCCTGTTGTTTATCCGCTACGACAATTTTTTTGTCTTTCTCTGTTCGTAACAAGGACAAATATACTAAAACTCAATTAAAAGAAAAATCATCGACGCTGGAATTCATTTTAATAAATTTAGCTGAATTTGATCACCACCCTAAAGTCCATATTTCTAAAAGCTATATTTTTTTATGTGTGTAATAAGTAATTTTCACCAAATATCAAAAATTATGTAAAAAATTATCAAAATTGCGAAATAAAGTTATTCCTGTTAAAAAAACAGATTTTTTTTTAATTTGGTCTTGTAAGTATGTTATGTTACATTAAATACGATTATTGAGAATGTATAGTCAGTCCATTAGGTCGACCGTTTTTTAAGTGAAACATCAGTATTAACAAAATTAAAATGTTTTTTATACACTTTTTCAACGTTAATATTGTTAAAATCTTCAGAAAATAAATAAATAAATAAATAATACATCAAAAGCTTTATCGCCTTTTCCCACGCAATCGATTTTTATCACTTTCTTTCCTACCTCATCCATCAATCAGCGAATTCACGTAAAACCATAACAGATTGAGTCACAAAAACGCATAAATTATGAATGGATCACTCGATGTTTACATTTCGTTCAAACACACGATTTTCGGAGCATTATAATTAAGTGTAAAGACAAATAATTTATTAATTTGCATAAAAATTCCCAGTTCAGGTCGGAATTTTGCGGCTAAAAAAAGTGTGAAGTTTTTAAAGCACGTGACTCTGATTGATCCACAAAAATAAGTCAGCAGGATTTATAGGTGTTTGGCATTTAATAGTAACATTTCAGCAGGAAAACTGCAAATTATGTCATCGCGGTTATAAATGTAGTTAAATTAAAAACTCTGTGACTTTCATTCGTCCTCGAAATCATATTGAATAGACAATAATAATTTTGTTTGAATTCGCTTTACTGCACTTTTTAGCGTTAATTGAAAATTAAATACTAGACAATGTGGTTTGAGAAAAAATTAATTGTTATTCCGAGGTTGGTTTAACCCCAAGGTCGCTTCAAGGGTGACCGAAGCCGTTGCAGGAATCCGGCAAAGGGCCAACAAGATTTGATTAATTCCTGTGAACTATTCCACTCCGATAGTTTATTTTATTTCAACCAATATTTCGATGAAATGGTGATAAAATTGAGTCATTTAAGAAATTTGTTTTTGCGAATAAATAAATAGAGTAAAAACGTGATGTCACTATAGCACTGGTACTAGATTAGTACCAATATAAACTTTTAATAGATAACGTGATAATGGATTGCACCACTTGTGCTACGTGCATATTTGCACATTTGGCGGGAGCGTCACGGCGTTTTCATTGGCTCCTGAAACTGAATCCGAATCGATTTCAGGAATTCCAGCTTCCCACGCTTGACGTGCTTGCAACGGGGTTAAATTTTTGCGTGTCGGGTACAACAAATGAGCGATTTCGTGCGATTTTGAAGCGATCGTTAATTGAAATGAAGCGAGAGAATTTTGTCACATGATCTGCGTGACACTTTATGTTTTTTTAACGAATTTAAGCGATTTTAATTTATGTCAATAGGGAAAAGTAAATATTGGAACGAGCGGTCACTTGAAACCAATTTTCGACTGACGTTAGAATTTGTTCGAGAGGAATGTGTCAAGAAGTTTTATTGGATAGACGAGCTGACAATTTGGAAAGGAGAAAATTCATTTAAAAAATTGTTGAAACAAATTGGCGAGATAATAAAACAAGCTAAAGAATATTTAAATATAAATGTAATAAAATTAAAATGATCTCAAAAATCTCATCATCCTTTATCGAAGTTTTAAATTCCCCCACCTTCATTTTTTACGATTTCTAACCATTAGAAATCATTAGACTCTTTCCAGTTGGGCCAAAATAGACATATTTTTTTGTAAGATTAACACATTTTTACAATATAATGTTCTTTTTTTTTACGTTAAGTTTTTTTCAATTAAGTTTTTCAAGTTAAGATTTCAGAAACAAGGTATATTCTCTTTAAAAAGCTCATTATTAAAGCATTATTATTTTTCCCAATATAATTTCTCAAGGTTTTGATTTTTCTTCTAAAATTTTCAATTATTGCATTTCTTTTAAAAACTTTTATTCTAAAATTGTAAATCCTTTTGTGATTTTAAAATTTCAATTTTAATGTCTTTTGAGTCTTTATTTTAATATTTTAAAAATAGTGTTGATGTAATTTCGAAAGCTTTTCAAAATCATGAAATTGTATGAACACTCTTGGGTTCTCTAGTTTTTCCTCAAAACATTCAAGCATTCTCTTTCCTGATCCAAAACCAAATTATTTATTAGAGTTTTGGATATACATCTTATTTTTTTTTTAATTTTAGCAGTTTATTATTCTTAATAACTATCTGAATAGTTATTTTATTCGAGATATCTTAGGAAATGTTCTTAGGAGCAAAATTTTTGAGTCTTTATTTTAGTTATGTTATCTCAAAATTTTTAAATAACTTTGAATAAAAGTTTGAAATTTCATATTAACCGTTACAAAAGCCTAATTTAATTTAAAATATTGAAAAATAAGTTTTTGGCAAAAACGGTAGGTATAGTAGTCATTTTTAAATACAAACCAGTTAAATTTATGTTTCAAAAATACAAAAAAAATTATATTAACTACGTAAACGTTGTGAAATTAGAAATGTAATACCTGGACTTGCTTATTCCATTTATGTTTTTCGTATCAACTTTAATATTTTTTTAGTGTTATTAATAAAACTTTAAATTGCGATTGTTTGAATTATTCAGCTTTAAAATTTATAGTTTGGAAATAATATTTTGCGATAATTATGTCTGGCTTTAAAACAACAATAGCCACATATGTTTCCTCATAAATTAGCATTACTTTTGGCAGCAAAATAAATCTAAGTGTCTCTAAATTTAACTTTCATTGGACCGTGCAATAAAACCGTGATTCCGAAATATGTAATAATTTTGGAAAAAATGTATGTATTTAATTATAATTTGTTAAAAAACGTTTTATGTTTACAAACAGTGACGTTTTTAGCCAGATGTTCGCAAGCTTTTGGCAAAACATTGCAATATTTACGATAAGAATTATGTATGCGTGTAATTTTAATTAAAATTAATTGTTGGTTGCATAAATCTACAATTCGACCCAAAAACGACGAGAAAATAGTTCTTGACTTGTTTACTTTGCATTAGTGTAACTCTACACGTCCTACTGCTCCAAATCAAATAAAAAAAATATTTTTAGCCACCTTTCCTTCACTTTATTGTGTCTTTTACACTCTGCCTGATTTATGCAATTTCGTGTTTTTCTGCTATTGACCTTCAACTCAAGAATTTGGCAACGACGAAAAATTTATTTGATTGAATTTTCCTCAATTCTTTTGCGTACGTGAGTTTGGTCAGTTTACGCAAATTTATAGCAAAATTGATGCCACGCTAAGGTCGCATTGTGTTATTTTTAAGACGACTCATGTGGCTGTTTATTTCGGTTGAGGCGCCATGAAGACACGCAAACAAAACAAGAGATTTTTGGAAAGTTTTGTGCCAGACGAAATTTTGTTAGTCATCTGAGTTCAAGTTGATTCCGTTGAGAATCTATTAAAAATTGTCAATTTACTTTATTGTTGGCAAAGTGGTTGGCATGCTTCCCTCGAACCGAGACACAAATATTCAGTTAGTGCAAAGTGCTTGAACTGGTTAGGTGGATAGATAATGTTAGATACTATAAAAGAATTCCTGGACTGCAGGTTTATAAAGGCTTATAAACAGGCTTCTGGAACCACTTGTACTCAAGGTACTTAAATTTCACCTTTGTGATTTATTTTACATTTTTGAATTTTTCCAAATAAGGTTACTGGTTATATAACTCCAAAAATTTTTGAAACTAAGTCATCAACCTAGCACGACTAGCAAACATAATTTTGTATGTAAAGGGCAATAAAGTATGCAAGATTAAAAAAACTATTTTTAAAATTGGCACGTCATATGACCCGGCCTTAAGAAAAATAAATCAACACCTAGAATCGCATTTTTTTCGTTTCTTCCTCGTCCATTGACGCAAATAAAAAATTTCCCAAAATGCTTTTTCTCAAATTAGGCCACGAGTTCTATTTCGATTCTTTAGTTTAAAAATAAATGCATTTGACGAATGCATCTCTGCGGCCTTGAACCAATCAATATTCTTCGGGAAATATTTTACAATTCGAGTCACAGACTCGATCAATTAGCGTAAATCAAACAATTTATTTAATCAAGTGGCGCATTAATGAATTAAAAATAACTGGCGATATGTTACAAATCGATAGTTTGATATGTTGTGAAGAGAATGTAACAAGTGGACAATTCATTTTTCATAAAGCGACACTTTATCGGGCCATCGATCGGATTCGATCCTATTAAGTTGATTTGGTGGGATTTCAACACTTTGCGCGGTAATAATAACTAAATGAAACTTAAATACATGGATAACCCGCTCAGTCGTATTGATGTTTTTTATTTAAAGTAAAAGGTGGAAAAAATATTCAATTAAGATTTAAAGTCTGGAAAGGATTTAACAAAAAAAAAAAGACTTCACTTCCGATGATTAGCAACGTAACCGAAAGATATCAACAGATATCAATAAAACAATAAAATCCCAATATTTTTATTATGATAATCACTCTAACTTCTCACTTTGTTTTTGATAAGAATTTATGGCACGTCGAAATGCATTTTTGCAAGTTTAGAGATACGAGTACGAATACAAGTTTCAAAAATAGATTAAAGCTCACCATTATAAGTTCATGTAACTTGCCAAATCGTAAATACAAAACATTATTAAAATTAATTCAAGTCATAATTCAGCGCTTGTGAGAAACAAGATTATGAATCAAGTCAAGGATCTGTCTTATACCAAGTGACTGTAAATGAAAAAATCCATTGGCAACACTGAATTACTGATAATCTTTCAAGTCTGTGGTAGCAGAGCTAAACCAGCAGCTGCCCCTCAAAAAAAATAACTTTAAAATTGTGATGGTTGCGAAATTAAGATTTCAAATTTGTTACCAACATGGAAGAAATTTTTTGTTATAACGTTATTTTGACAACATTTTTGTCTAAACTTTGTGAAATGCACACTAAAATGAACTCGGATTTACGTAACAGAGAAAACAAGGAGCAAAGTCAATTTATTTTGGACTTCAATATTTCCACCAATTTTAATTTAAACAGAAGATTTTTTATACAGTGAGCGGCAAAATTATGAAATAATTTTATTTATTAAAACTGGAAATATTTTGTTTTGACAAAAATGCTCGAACATTTCAATTATCTTTTTAAAAATACAAGATTCTCAACTTGATTTAAAATTGTATGTTAAAATTGTTTTTTATTGATATTATTTAATTTGATTGATATATATTTTTTTGAAAACTATGTAATATTTAATATTTTGATGTTGTCATTTCGACAATTAAAAGATCTGTCGAACTGGCTAAAAATATTGGGGTTTTCCATTAAAAAAAGTGGAAAACGTTAAATCAAGATGAAAATTATGTATTTTTTATAAAGAAAATTGACCTGTTCGAGCATTTTTGCCAAAACAAAACATTTTCAGTTTTAATAAGATTTTTCCATAATATTGCTGCTCACTGTATATTTTTTTGACTCAGTTTGACTTAAAACCACACCGAAATTTTCGATTTTTTATACTAGGTAAAAACTTAATTTTACTAAATTATCGGTTATCAGTAACTAAATTATTAGTAATTTCTATAATTCGTAATTTTACGTTATATTTTTATCATAATAAAACAAACCATCAATCAATCGCAAAATATCTCAATTAAATCATCTTAAAGATTGCAAGTATCGAACAACGGTTACTGGAAAATTTTTGCATATAAAAAATGAAAATCTTTTTACTTATTAAGAAAATTAAGAAAAAAACTGAATTGTGTTTATTTTTATAAATTTTTGTATGAACTGTGTTTCAATAAAAGCATGACATATTTTCTTCATTTTGATTTACGATTCTTTCTGCAAAAATGATGAGTGATGAATTTGTTGAAACAGAAAATATTTGATTCATTTATTTTCTTTCGAAATAAATTGAGATTGAAACTAAATTAAAAAAAATAAACACAAAATTGATTTATTTATTTTCAGAGTGCGTGATACAATTATTCATATTCACCACCTTTCCCTCTCTCTTAATTGCTTCTCAACTCCTAAGAAAATTTCTGATTGTTTTATCAATTTAATAAGTATCAGATAATGCAATTCTGTATGATTCATCTTAGACTTTGTCTCCCCATCTATATTACATTAGTCCACGCGAGATTTCGCACGAACCATGCCTCCATCCCCCATTTCACGTGTGTGTCTCCTTCCAGGAAACAATAATGCGACCCCAAAGGATGGCGTTCAGTGGCGTGGTAACAGGACAAGCAACGGCCAATGCAATGGAAACGGCTGCGGCCTCCGCTTCACCGGGAGCGACACTGAAAACGGCGGCGGCTTCAATGGCTCTGAAGACTCAGCCGCAGGAGGGCCGGACCAGCTGGAGGGGCCGGGCGCAATTGAGAATGACACTATTCACCTCAAGAGACGGGTGGGACTCATCAGTGGGGTGGCTTTAATTGTCGGGACCATGATAGGTACATCAATTTTTTTTTGTTGCAAAAATACTACATTTTTCACAGGTTCCGGAATCTTCGTTTCCCCGTCGGGCCTGCTTGAAAGGACCGGATCAATCGGGATGAGTTTTGTGATATGGATGGCGTGTGGGCTCTTATCACTTCTAGGTAATTTAATTTAAATTTTAATTTAAATTTTTTGGTGATTTGGAAAAGTAGTCGTATCTAGATTTAAAAAAAAAACATTTTGAAGCTTTAAGTTTCTAGTTTTGAGATCTTTTGGGAAATATTTTTTCTATGCTACGGTTATCAGTAAGGCTCGGATTATATGCAAAATGCATATTTTTTATTAAGAGGTGTATCAACAAAATTATACATTTTCTATGCATATCTAATGTTTTTTGATTAAAATAAGCCAATTAAAAAATGCATATTTTGGCAACTTCGTGCATATTTTCTTCAAATCACAAATTTCTGATTAAGAATTTCAGTTCAAGTTAAAAATTAGACAGTTTAAGAAAAAAGATCCAATTACAAAATATGTTAAAGAAAAAACAACCGGTAAGTCGTAGGCCGGACTCAAAGAATTAGTATCCTGCTGAGTGTTTCCTTTATACAGGGTGAAGAAGTAAGCGTTTTTTTTGTAAAATAAATTGCCTCTAGAAAATAATACTTAATATAAATTAAAATAATATAAAAAATGAGATCGTATTATGAGAAAGACATTTTGTTTTCTTTTTGAGTTACGCGATTTTTTTTGTTAAAATATAAAAATAGTTTAAGCAAAAAAAAACGTTTGGTTCTATACTCTTTATTTACCCGGTATGGCTATAATCCTTCCATTCGAATAAGTAGTTGCTTGCTAGTAAATTTTAGCGAAATAGTTTAAAGTGATCTTAGAAAAGCTTAATTACTAGGTTATTAAAATGGCTTGTCTGAGGCAAAACCAATTTATTTATTCTCTTTCGTTTATGCTGTGCAGTTCAAGATACCGAAAATACAAAGTCTAGTTTACTCGAGGATAAAAATTTATCCCAACTTTGATTTTTTATTGTTAAAAGTTTTGCATATTTGGCATATATTTGAGTATATTTCTTAATATCTTGTGCATATTTTTGTGAGAATACGTGCATATATACGCGCATATTTTACAAAATTTTCGTGCATATACGAGGGAAGATCAGTTATTACGGTCCCTGACATACAAGAACACAAGATATAACAAAAATTACATGATTACTTTTCTACATAGTCCCCTGCAACTGCAATGCATTTTTCCCAACGATGTTCCAATGCTCGGACACCCTTAGAAAAAAATTCTTTAGGTTGCTCCTCTAACCAGTTGTTTACGGCAGACATCACTTCATTATCGTCACCATATTTATTGCCACGAAGATATTCTTTTAATTTTGGGAACAAATAGAAGTCACTAGGGGCCAGGTCTGATGAATAAGCAGGGTGTTCCAACAACTCGAATCCTGCTTCATAAATAGCAGTCATTGCAACATGACTTTTGTGAATCGGAGCGTTATCCTGATGGAACAGGATTCCCCTACTCAGCTTTCCCCGTCTTTTTTCCTTAATACACTCGCGAAGTTTTGAAATTAAATTGGCATAATATTAGCCTGTTATCGTGTGTCCACGCTCTAAATAATCAACCAACAGGAATCCTTCCGCATCCCAAAAAATTGTGGCCATAACTTTACCAGCACCTTTTGCGTGTTCACACGTCTGCCTTCCCAGTTTAAACTTTCGAGACATATTTTTTACCACCTGGTAAGAAGGAGCATTCTCCCCCAGTACAGCCACCATATCTTCGTAAATCTCCGTTGGCGACAATCCTTTCTTTTACAGGTACTTAATAACAGCGAGCACTTCAGGTTTCTCCATTTTTTGCAAAAACGACTGACTACAAGCAAGAAAGCTGAAACTGCACCAACTAAGTGACAAAAAATCTAATTTTTTTGGTTTTTGTTTTTGGTCCACGGACGTAGGGATTTTTTTTAGTTAAGTCAATGCATTGGATAGCATGTTTGTTTACCTTTAATATGTTTTTTTCATATTCTCTTTACATCAATTTATCGCTGAGATATCTGACTTTAAATAAAAAAGGATCCTTTTGTCTTTGATCATCGATATCTCAGCAACCAATGACCACACGAGAATATGAGGGTAGTATCAAAAACTGGAATAAATGTCTCATAAGATCCTTTTATGATTTTTTGAGAAATATATTTTTTTCACCTTTATTGATTTAAAGAAAGAAGAAAAAAGTAACCTTTTGCGTTGTTTTAGAAATTCTACCGCGTATTCACTAATGTTGATAGAAAGACGAATGTTTTTAGGTATTTTGACAAAAGATCTCAAAACCAAAAACTTAACGCTTCAAAATGTTTTTTTAACTGTAGATGCGACCATTTTTCGATGAATTACAGCCTTTCAAAAGTCTAGAAAATTTTGTTGTTCCTTTAATTTTTTGGAGTAGTGTATTTTGGGCCCGGTTGTGAATGACGCATCGGAAGTGGATTGTTTGAATTTGCAATTAGTTGGACGAGTTGCGAGACTTTGATGTGTGTTTTGGAATTGTTTAGTAGTCACGCGACTGGCCGTCTTGAGATTTATACAAATGACGATGTGTTGACGTCAATCGGGCTACATATCCACTCCTACGTGAAATTTCGGTGATCATTAAAAATACGCGAAATTAGTTCTGGAGTGCTTGGGTTCAAAGATGAGCTTTATGGATTATTTTAGGCGCTCTCGCGTACGCCGAACTGGGCACTATGAACACGTCATCCGGGGCGGAATATGCCTACTTCATGGACGCTTTCGGGGCTCCCCCAGCATTCTTATTCTCCTGGGCCAGCACCCTCGTCCTTAAACCGTCACAAATGGCGATTATTTGCCTCAGTTTTGGAAAATACGCAGTCGAGGCTTTCGTCAGCGAATGCGAACCGCCCGAAATCGTCGTCAAGATGGTGGCTCTACTTGCAGTCGGTAAATCCCCCAAATCGCTTCAAAGAGACAAATTTCGCCATCTCTAATTCCAGTTGTTATCCTCTACGTCAACTGCTACAGCGTCAATCTGGCAACGAGTGTACAAAATGTCTTTACTGCGGCTAAACTGGTCGCGGTTTTTATTGTTATAGCGGGAGGCACGTACAAGATGTTTGAAGGTACAGTAAATGGGAAAAAGTGCCGAAAAAGAAATTTTCATTTCAGAATGAAAAGATTAAGAATCGGTTTTTTTCGAAGGTAATACTCAGCATTTGCGGGAGCCTTTTAGAGGCACGAGGTCCTCCGTGGGGAACATTGCGACGGCTTTCTATACGGGGCTTTGGGCCTATGACGGCTGGAATAACCTCAATTATGTCACCGAGGAAATCAAAAACCCATCACGGTAATTATCACTTTTTATATTATTAATTTAAGTTACACATGTAGCATTTTTCACCATATTCTTTACTTTAATATTTGTCATCTTTTGATATCACAAGTTATGGACAATGAAACACAAAAGTTTAGCAAAAAATAAAAAAACACGCTTTGTGTCTGACTAGCTTAAAATTTTTTAGTTTAAATTTTTAGCCAGTTTTTGCAAAATAGATACGACAAATTCAGAGTTTGTGGCTGGAAGACAGAAAACTGTAATTTTTGGCTTGTTTCGGCAAAATTATGTCGAACAGCAAAAGTTCATACTTACTAGTAAAATTACAATTTTTTGATTGAATAGTAATCAATGCGATTTTTTCATTATGTATGATCATAGTATTTAATTAATTTTTGCACCATAAAAAATCGTATATTCACAGTACCTAACTACAAATTGTGCAGTAAAAATAACAAACATTCAGTAACTTTAACATTAATAAACTAACATAAAACTTAAGGAACTTCAGTCTTGGTTATATGACAATGTATGGCTCCTGTGCAGGAATATTATTTATTATTGGTGTTTATTACTTTATTACGTTCAGTAACGTTTATTATTTTACTGGACGTATACAGCTTGTCAAGAATAAGAAAGACCGCGAGATAGAAAGAGCGAATCTCTGTAAGAGAGTGATGGACTTTGTCCCTTTGTGTACAAAAGAGAGAAACTCCTTAAACCATCCTTATTTTATCCACTTATCCTTATTTTATCTTATTTTTGGCAATCTGTATCATTGTGTGCAATAAGCGTAAATTTTTCTATGAAACACATTTTTTTCTCTACTGTGCATTTATTATTATCACCCTGTTTTTTATTTTGTAAACGAGCACCGTATTTTACTATATGAATATTAGTTTTACTGCACATTCATTATTTTTACTGTACATTTATTATTTTTACCTTGTGTTCATTATTTTTTATGAACATCTATTATTATTCAACTGTAGATAGATATACATGTTACTTTATCCGCAAACATCACAAAAGTATCCACTTTTATGACTAAATGTCGCAAGTAAACGCAGTATGTTCTTTCGCTTAAGGGTTTTCACTTTTACCATGACATTATTATGTCTATGTTATTGTCATGATTTTTTGTCTCTTTCGCTGCTTCAGCAATCGCTGGAAAGGTACATTGTAGATCATCATTCATCAACAATCGACATTTTGCACTACTAACTGCACTAGTCATCCACTAAATCTCAACACAAATTCTGGTATTGACGCGTGATGTTTGTTTATAAACGTTGATATGACTTCATTTGTTGCAAAGCGTCTTGATTATTTTGTTCATTTACTTGCTAATTATAGTCTTGCTTTTTGCTTTTGAACTGAATACATTTGCGGATAAAATTGTATGTATATGTTATTCGGAGTAAAAGTCCACTGCTAAATTATTTTGCTCACCAAACGTTCAGTTTCCCCAAATAAACTATCAGTTTTACTCCTAATAATATATTGCACTATTTACTGAAAAATTCATTATTTTTACTGAATAAAAATACTTGACGTTGAAGTACAATACTGTGCATTTGATTTGTACCTTTTTTAATTTGATTCGGCAGAATACGTCAATTTAAACAAAAAATTAACGTTTGACACTATTACTGGTCTTTGACCTCGCTACCAACTCCTTGAGTACTAAAATGAGTGGCTTAAAGACTCATTTCAAATCCCAAATTAGGCGCACAATACAGGAATTTTTTTTAGTAATTTGCCAATGAGCATAATTATCGGAATCCCGCTGGTAACCATCTGCTACGCCCTCATCAACGTCTCCTACCTGACAGTGATGTCCCCCATGGAGATGATAACCAGCGAAGCGGTGGCTGTCACCTTTGGTAACCGTCTTTTGGGCGTGATGGCCTGGTTGATGCCCCTTTCTGTCACCATTTCGACCTTTGGTTCTGCAAACGGCACTCTTTTCGCTGCTGGTCGGTTGTGCTTTGCGGCAAGTCGCGAAGGTCATCTCTTGGACATCCTCTCCTACGTCCACATTCGCAGATACACTCCAGCGCCAGGTCTTATTTTTCACGTGAGTTTCCCAAGTTTTACCAAAAAAGTAAATGAAAATGTGGGTTTTAGTCGCTGATTGCCGCCGCTATGGTACTTTATGGTACCATCGACTCGCTGATTGACTTTTTCAGTTTCACTGCGTGGATTTTCTACGGGGGAGCAATGCTGGCTCTGATTGTGATGCGACACACTAAACCCAACTATCCTAGGCCCTATAAGGTACTAAAAACGAGTTTTTGTGATGAGAGTTTTTGCATGCGTTGTTCCAGGTGCCAATTATCATTCCTTATGTGGTATTAGTGATCTCTTTCTACCTGATAATAGGTCCTATAGTAGACAAGCCTACCATTGAGTACCTGTATGCAACGCTGTTCATTTTTAGTGGGATGGTTTTTTATGTCCCGTTCGTGCATTACAAAATGCGGATCCCATTCATGGGTGCGTTCATTCTAACCCATTGGTTTTTTCATTATCGTTTTTTGTTTTCAGACGGCGTGACTGTTTTCTTGCAGATGATATTTGAAGTAGCACCAACATCGACAATGTTGGAGTAGAAAGGCAGAAAGCTCAAATTTATATATTTGTAGCTGTTAGTAGGTCATGGTTACAGGTAAAACTCTTGGTTTCATCTATACAACGTTATTTTTGTGCTTACTGTGACTTGAAAATGTGTAGATGGAACTAGATGAAAATTATAAATGTAAAATGTAGGTAAATTGCACGGATCATTCCCAACCATCGGATATCTCATGGGGTGCAACGTGAATATCCATAATTGTTTCGTTCGTTCAAATAAAATTAGTGTCAAGCAATAAAACTCTAGAGTGAACGTATTATACAGTAGATAAATGTTAAATTTACTCGGTGTAATAACGTCGATGTTTGTACATTTCTAGCTAATTTTATTTGAATTTGATAGTTGTGCATTTTATATGAAGTATACATTTATTACAAAAAGTCTGACTTTTTTTATGAACTTATTTTTATATTAGTGCAAGTTCCTGTAACCATGATTAAAAAATTTCAAAATACATTAAATTGACATGTTTAAGGTAAAAATATGACTCTGTAATTCCTTACCTAAACACTGTTAATTGTTATTTTGGGTTTTCTATAATTTTTTATTTCACGTTTTAGTTCTAAACTAAAAGATTCGAATCTTGAAAGAGAGTATTACAGCAGTTAGATGATGGGGATATTATTTTTCAACATTTCTATTTTAATCAAAGTACCTGTTAAATAAGATAATGAAAAAAAAAAGTATTTTCTTTATATAGTCACTAACATATCTAAAATACTCTCGAACGAATCTTGGAACATCGATTTTACGCAAAAATTGTTGTTTTTATCATTTGATAATAGCTTTTGTATAAAATTTAGAAAAGTAACATTGTTGCCAAATGTAAAGCATATATTGTTGTGCAATATAAATAAATATTATATTGTAATACACAAAATGTTTTATTATTTTATGTCCAAAAAATTTCAAATCCTGTTCTGCTGTATTGTTGGTTGTATAAGTTGACGCAATATTTTGACTTATATCTGACAAAATCCTAACCTCATAATTGACGATTTGTGAACAACGTAAACAAACTTTATTTGGGAACACATGGACCAATCCACAGCCCGCAGACTGCTCTCCGAGGGCGCTTTCTTCATCCTCCTGGGAGTCCCCGAAGGCACCGAGTTCGGCATCGACCTGAAATCTTGGAACACTGGAGAGAAGTTCCGAGGGGTTAAAATGATCCCCCCAGGTGTGCACTTCATTTTCTACAATTCCGTTAGCGCGACCACTGAAGACGTCGCCCCGCGAGTTGGGTTTTTCCACAATTTCAAACCGGGCGAAGTCCTTGTGAAAAAATGGTCAAAGGTAAATGAGCAAATCAGCGATGAGGAAGTCACCGAGTCGGAAATTGTGAGTTTGAAGGAGAATCTGAGGGCCCTCGATAGTTTTCTGGGGCCTTATCCGTTCGATATTGCTGAGAGGTGGACGAGTTTGTCGGGGAACATAACCGGTAAATTGTCTTTAATTAAGTGTTTTTGAATTTTAAGGTGTTTTTTTAGAGGATTTGTTGGCGAAATTGGTGCCGCGCTGTGGCCAAGTGAGGGCCGCTTTGGAGCTGCAGTCTTGTAGTGACGCGGAGCGGCCCAGGGGGGCTAAAAGGAAAAAGGGGGAAGAGGCAAATGAGCCGTCTTGTAGTGAAATAAAAAATTTGTCTGGTTGTGGCGAACATGATTTGTTGCCGGCCCTGAAACCGATCGAAGGGACTGAATTGAGGTTGACGAAATTCCCTGAAAAAAATTATCCCGAAGGAAGCACACCCGCTGAAATTACTCAACATTCTCTAGATTTAACATATGTTTTTGAAACACTTTTAACGCAATATTCCAGACCGACAGAAATCATCGGGGAGCTGGAATTCTGCTACATTTGTTTTCTTGTAGGCCACAGCTTGGAGGCATTTGACCAGTGGAAGAAACTAGTGACTTTATTCTGCTCCTGTGATAGTGCCATTACAAAATACAGAAAATTATTCGATTTATTTATAACAGTACTTGAAATACATATAAACGAAATACCTGAAGAATTTTTAGCAGATATTGTTTCAAACGATAATTTTGTTTATGTCAATTTAAAAAAATTGTTTAGGTCAGTTTGTGAATCACACGTTGATGGTCAATTCAAAACGAAAGTGGACAGATTTAAAAATTCTCTAACTACGACGTTTTTGTGGGATTTTGAACATCTGGATTCTGATGAAGACGACGAAGCTCCAGTTGTGGTAGAAACTTAATTTATTTGTGCAGAAAATAAAGAATTTTTTTTTTCATCTCGAGTTTTATTCTAACTGAACAAATTGTTGACAAAGGTCAATGACTTAACCCAAATAATTACAGCAAATGTGGTACTAATTTAGTGCTAATAACATTTGGTTAACTTTTCTTGAAAATTATTAAAGTCACTTGTAAATAAGTATTCAAAACGGGTCGCTAATTGTTAAATTCTACATAAGACATAATTGCGACCTTGACCACGACCTATACAACTTATATAATTATTCTAATTTTGTTGTAAATTATATTCACGAAACTTTCACCTAGATTTATTGAAAATGTGTCGTTTGAGATAAATCGAGCTTGTGCAGGAAGGCCGAAAATCCGGAAAATAAGATAAATGGAGATAAAACAATCATAAAATCGAATGGTTTTAATTAATATCAGGAAATGCGTCCTCCGTACACAGATAATTAATTATCGTAGTACAATTTTATTGTTGGTAGTAAACAATTAGTAGACTTTAGAGTCGAGTAAACGATCGAAAAAGTGTAATTTCTCGTTAATAAGTATTATTTGAGGACATATTTGATGACTGTTATTGCCATTTGCCGTGCAATCTGATCGCAGCAACTTCCTTTATAAAATAAAATTGCTTAAGTGGTATAAAAATGAGTATTTTTACGCTTTTGTGTTTAACCATACATCACGTAATAACAACTGTCTTAATAAATTTAGCCCTGATGAAAAATGCAATCAAGGTTTATATTCACCTGTAATTTTTCTAAAATACCGCAATTATAATAATGCAGTTGCTCAATTCCGTGGTACTTTTATTACTTAATTTTCCTCACTTGCATAACATAATGAACCGTGCACTTTCTAATCCCAGAAATGCCACTGTAGTTATTTTGCGAAAGCTCGCTACGTCACGAAATTAAATAAAATCGCTAATAAGCCCCAATGATGGTGATTTATATCGGACGGAAACGCCAATCTGCATTAGCAGTCTAATGCCCTGAGCACCCTCGTCGAGGTGCTCCAGGTGCCCCCCTCAGTCGGCAAGCTCGTCTTAAGCTCGCACTTTCTCTGCTCGAGGACGCCTCAAACACAAACTGTTCTACCGCTCCGCCACTCAACAAACAACTTCCGATTAAAAGCCGGCATCATTTAAAATCATAATCAGTTGATGTCAACGCGCGAAGAGACACAACATGAAAGCGTAAAGTGATAGAGTGTCAAGTGGTTTTTGGAAATTAAGGAAAAACAAGGTAGGAATTTGTGGTTTTACTCGATTCTGCAAGAGGCTGTCACAATCATTGATGCAATGCCTTTTTCCTATTGCAACAACACATTGTTTCTTACTTCACGTTTAAAATAAAATCACAATTTCAGAAAAAAATAACAATTCGTGATAACCCTCCAGGATGTTACTAATTGCACTGACACGCGAATTAATTTAATTAAAAATAAAAACATGTAAAGCTTTGCGAAATTGCGCAAATTCCAGGTATGTGAGAGTAGGTGGGTAATTTTTCATTAATATGAGATCTATAAATATTCGCATTGTTTGTTGGTAAATAGCCTTCGGTGTAAATTTCCTGCTAGAAAAATCAAGCTGATCGGTGAAATTATAAATAATTAGAGTAATGATGCGTAATCAGCCAAATCGCCTTGAAATAAAATATTTATCAATAAAAAAGGGAAAAATTTTGATGAAAAACAAATTTTTCAAACGTCAAAACAATTATTTCATTGATGTGTTGAATATTAGTGCAACCACAGGCATAATTCTCTAATTAAGTGTGAAGGTTCTTGCCACCAAATGTTTTACTAATTTTCTTCCATGAAAACAAAATTAATAGAAAATGTTCGTGAAGACACTGTTTAGGGAGATTTAATGATTTATGTTAGAATTCGTTTTGTTCTGTACAAATAATTGTCAAATATTTTTTTCTAGACTAATATACCTACATACCTAAAGATATTCTGAAGAATATTGAAAAATAGGACGCTCTATATTTTTGAACAAGTTTTATCATTGCAATTATCCTCTTGAAAATAAAATTACATCAATTTTAGCGGTTCCACTAATTGTTGCTCTTGAAGTCTGGAATATATTTAGATTAATGTTTTCTCTACCAAGAAAACATCACTATTTGCGTAACATTTTAAGTTAATTCCTGTTTTTACTAGTAAAAATAAACAAATTCATTGAAACTTGACACTGTTACTATTGTGCATGTTGTTTAAATATTTATTACAATGATAAAAAAACGCAACAGAGTTGTATATCTGATGATCCAATGACCCATCCAGAATTGTTAGAAATATTTTGACGTAGAGAAAACAATCAATTAATCATCCGTTGGTTTGAAACTTGTTTTTTTTTCTTATTTTTGGTCTCGATAAAATAATAATATTTTTCCTTGTTATCAATGAAATTGTGAATGTCGGCGTTGACAAAACCCGTGCAAAGCCTTAAACTTCCACCGTCCTTGGCTTTGCTGCTTGAAACTTGATTAATGTGTGAAATTTAAGGTCATTTAAACAAATTGGGTCAAGAAGACTGCACACAAACCCATTCCCTCTGACTAATTCAGGTTCAAAAAACACTAAAATGAAAAAAATCAATTTTATCACTAGAATTAACCTTGATGTCTATAATATTTTCTTTAAAGGGTGACTTGTATCAAACTATTGTTGGTGTTTCCGGTTTTAGCACTTTGGCCGGAAGAAAATAACTTCGAGGTTTATTAAAGGTAATAATTGTTAATTGAAGAAAGTGTCAAGGTTGGATTCTATTAAGAGTAATACCCTTGTCAACATGTGGCGTTTCCGCGAATCCTTGGCGTCTTCGGCAAAGAAATGAGCGAATTGGGTCAAGCAAAAATTGGGGGTTTGCGAATTCAAGGATTTAGAACGGCCGAAAAATACAATAAGAGAATTAACGCGAATCTAGATCAAGTCCGATTCAATTTAAACACAAAATAAACATACGGTATGTTCAAAAACAAGCGATTTAATACTTGAAATGACTTGGGGCTCCTAACTCAACAATTACCACTACCAAAAAGCAATGATTATTATTACTACTGGTTTCTGCGATACTCTTTCAAGATTTGCACTTTAAAGGCATATTATCTTCTAAAATTTACGGCCTTGTAATCTTTTGGAATAAACATTGAAACAGATAAAATTAAAATATAAATTATCTCTGAATTTCGATACAGCTCAAAAATGTCTTCAAAGGCAGCAATTGTAAAAAAAAAAATTAATGGCAAACAAAAGAAAACATTTTTTCCATATATTACAAAATCATAATTAGATAATTTTTTTTTACCAAAGCTTCTTCTACTCAAAATAAAGCAATTAATCTAATGCACCTTAATAATGGACCTTAGTAACAAAACGCTCTTTTAAATAGATACAGATTGTTAATAAAAACAGTTTTATTTCTATAAAATAGAAGGAATTTATTATCCATTAATTTGAAAAAACATTATAATAAACACAAAACTCAAAGTTTTGGTAAAAAGTTTTATCCCCAATTATGACTCAGTAAAACAATTTGTCATCGGTCACTCCAAGAAAACATCCAGCCCGGTAACAGCTTTTTTTGTTATAAAATTAAATGTAAATAAATTATAAATAAATATAAAAAATGACGTCAAGTAATGTTGAAAACACAAATAAAAATTGGTAAAAATTGAAATATCTCGGTTTCAATCACACTGACTGCATAAACGTGAAATTTTTCCACATGAAGGAATGTTCTTCAAATTTTGTCTACTAATAATTCTACATGTTCTAAAAATATTCAGTTGAAAGTCTTTTTAGAAACCAGAAGTTGGGAACAGCAACTTTGGAATGAGTTTTTTTTAACTTGTTAAAAGTCATAAAACTCCAGTTTTTCACTAAGAATTCCAATAATAAACAAAAGTTATCTACACGTACAAATTTCAAAACGAATTTTGCATAATTTTATTCTCTTTACATTGAATAATACATATTATTTTGAAACTTTCCCATAGACAAAAGAGTTAAGCAAACGGATGATATTTTGAAAGTAATACGAGTACGTTTACAGTTTGTATTTTTGTAGTTTGAGCCGAAAAAATTTCTTTTAAAAGATATCACTAATACGGGTAGAATTCGTTTTTGAAGTAATTAGAACTAAATTTGGCTTTGGCTTTTTAAGCCTTATTAGGTTTACTTTATTTCATTAAGTTTTAGGCTTTTTACTTTTTAATTTTTTTGCTAGTTTTCTGGTTGTTTGAACAATTTAGCAATTAGCAATCGATGCTATTTCAATAATAATAAATAACGTGTCATGATACTTTAACAAAACCATTCATTATTGCTTCAAAAGTAATAAAAATAAAATTTTGATTAAATGATAAACAAGGAAGCTAATTGTTTAACTCGTCAATAGAAAATAGTTTTTAAAAGCAAGCAAAAAATCTTCATAAAAATAAAAATTTGTTACTTTATGTAATATTTTACTTGGTCCCTATGAAATAAAATAAGGGTGAATATAAAGTATGAACTAAACGATTTTTTTTTAATCATTTGCCTCCAGAAAATAATAATTAATATTAATTAAAGTATTATGAAAAATGTGATCATATTTTAGAACAAAATTTTAATTTTTTTTGTGATTTTTTTTGTCAAAATTGCAATTTATGTTAAAATTAAAAAAAATATATAATATACATAAAATCCTTAGATCATAACCTTCATGAGAAAAATGGTTTTATAGTGGGTTGCATTGAAAAAAATTACAATTTTTAGAACAAAAATAAAAATAAAAATTTCGAAAAATTTTATTCTTGATAAAACATCACATTTTTATAGTACAGTGATGGACAGTGAATTTCGTCCACCCAATTTCTGTGAATTCACAAAAATTCACTGTAGTCTGTGCTTTATTGTCATGATAACTGACATTCAAATACGTATTGTCAAATTTAATCAAATTCGAACATGCCAGCAGTAAGTGCGTTTAATAAAATAAAAATAATCTCTCTGGTACAAGAAGGTTTTTTAGTCCCAA